AAGCGCCGGCCGCGCCGCCGCTCGCCCCGTAGCCACCCGTGACCGTGTTATAGGCGCTGCCCACGATGCAGCCCAGCCCGTAGTCCGCCGAGTCCTGCAGCCGCGGGTGCGACACCATGCAGCTGCCCGGCTCCGACGTGTTGAGAATCTGGTCGATGCCGAAGCTGATGGGCTCGGCTTGGCCTTGGTGCAGGTGGTGAGCGCCGAGGTGCTCCATGCCGCCGCCCGGGAGCCGGACCTCCGCCCCGGGCACGGCAGCACAGCCCCGCAGCGCCCCGAAACCGGCAACGGGGCCGCGCACAGGAGGTACACGCCGGCTACGCGCTCAGTCCCATAGCACGACGGTCGCACACCTCAAGAAACCCCAGCAGAGCCACACACGGCCGGGACACGGCAGCCACACGCTCAGCACGAAGATCCACCAACAGAGCCATGCGCAACCCAGGCACAAGAGCGAAACAACCCCGCAGCCCGGGACACGGCGGCCGTACCCAGCGAGGCACAGGACCCACACACTGGAGACACAACCACGCCACACACACCCACCACCCAACAGCTTCCAGGAGTGGAGACACGATATCCCCACCCACGGACACTGGTCCCGTTCCGATAAGACCCAGCGCCGCCAGGCGCCAAGAGGCAACCACCCCACGCCAGGAGCCACTCACCCAGGACACACACACATACACACACACACACACACGAGGGTGCCCCAGGGAACCCTCGCCGCGGCGGGCGGTAGGGAGCCAGGAGCCCCGCGGAGCGGAGGAGAGCGCGGCGGAGTGCGAGTGCGATCGTCCACCGCCCCGCTTGCCCATCAATCACCCTACCCAGGGCCTACTGCTGCAGGCCCTCACTCTCCATTGGTTGGATGCTGAGAGCAGCCCAGTGAATGACAGCAGAGAAGAGCACACGAGAAAAGGAGTTTCTTCTTCCCCAGCTTAACCCCCTCCCGAACTCCCCCCCCCCAGAAAAAAAAAAAAATCACCACCCTGATTGGCCTTATAAAGTGAGCACTGGGTGCGGGCAGGGCTCTGGGGGGGTGAATGAGTCTCAAGTACTGGCTACTGGGGGCAGAGTGGAAACGTTTGGTCCCAGAGGTTGTGGCCGTAGGCAGCTGCGAAGAGGGGTCTTGGCTGCTAGGCCTCGCCGGGGAATCAGGCGCGGGCCGCGATCACCGTGGGCTGCAGCTTATCCCAAGCAAGGGCTGAAGCCGGGGGATCTTATCCTGGTGGGGTCCAAGACCCGCCGTGACCCTTTGTTCCGAAAGGTTATTCTCAATTTCAAAAGCACCTCTCAAAAAGGCGCGGAGGAGGAGGGGGCTCTCCTATCCCCAGACCCCGGAGCGGAGGCATTCAGGACGGCACTCCACGAGTGCCCAGACTCGTGGAAGGGGCATGACGGCAGAAGGCGATGGGCTGGTGCACATCTCCCCCCGGAGAGCCGGGGCGGGGCTCATTCCCCCGGGACGATGGCCGGCTCCAGCTGTTCCCCACGGGGCAGGGGTGCACACCACGGCGGGGCGAGGGCTGACGGGGCACCCGCTGCCGCCGGGCCCGCCGGAGATGTGTTTTTGTAGAAAGAAACAAACAAAACCCCCACAACATTCAGAAAGTTATTTAAAATGCTTTGCACAAAATGAAAATGAAAGCCGTTATCGCAATTTGCAGCACAACTTGTTGTGGCTCTGGTCCGTCGGTGACTGCTCCGTGCAGCCGGGCAAGGAGCAGAGCCGCCCGTGGGGCAGAGGCACGGCCGTCTTCCTCCCGTTCCCCCGCTGCTGCCGACCGGCTCTGCCCAGCGCAACCTAGAGCTCCCGACCGCGGCGCCGAGGTTTTGCCGCTGATTTGAGCTCTGCCCACCCTGTTCTCCCCGCTCCTGGCTGGGATCTGCCCTCCAGGTCCCCTCGTCGCCGTCTGGGCCACAGGCTGCCCTTTACGTCTTCAATGTGCTTGTGGTTTAATGGGGGCCGCGGAGATCCCACAAGACAGAAGTTTTGGGGTATCCCCCATGCAAAACAAATGCGTTGGCATAGAAAGTTGTGCCCATGCACTCAAGTACACCTCCTCACCCCCCCCACCAGACGTATCCCATCCACATCCTCACACACACCCCCCCTCACACAGTCCACAATGTCAAAGATGCACAAGTTCACACACACCCTCATGAGCCTACAGGCACGCATGATCACAGTCCCACATATTTGCACTCGCACACACCTACATTTGTGCACACTTATTCAGACATCCTCCCATACCCACAGACAGTTACAACCCTTCTTGCATCCACTCCAATTCAGACATGTTCTCACCCCCACCTTCAGAGCTGTGTGTTTTCACACACTCACATTCACTCCAACCACACACAATAACACACCCCGGTACCTGTGCATTCAGACATCCCCAGACACAGGTACACACCGACACACCAGTGATTGTAGCTTCCTGCCATCCTTACCCCAGCCACAACCCTGTTGTGACACCCCAAGCCCCATCACTATCACTGCACCACCCCCACAGCCCCACACTAGGAAGGCTGTGCAGACAGCAGGCAGCAGCAGCAGTAACCCACAGCCGCCCTCCTGCTCCGTGCCAGGCCGGTACCCGGCTCCCCTGCCCTCCCCCCCAATCCCCCAGCACTGCCTAGCCTTGCCTGCCCACTGGGGTCGGGTTTCCCCCCCTCCCCATACCTGCCTCAGTTCTTGACTTCTGAACTCTTCAGGGAACTCGCTGGCGCCAGCTCCATCAACCAAAGTCCTTGTGGTTAGGAGGAGCTGGGAGAGGAGGGAGGGAGCAAGGGCTGGGGCCAGCCAGGGCCAGGAGGCTGCCCTAGGGCAGGAGGGCTTCTCATCCCCCAGGGCTGCAGCTGCCTTTGCCCTTCTCCAGTACCTGCCTAGGCTTCTTCTCCAACCCCTTCCCAGATGGGAGATGTGGGGCAGAGCCTGCTCACCAGCCCTGAGTATGTCAGGTTGTCTCCACAGGGAAGCAATAAAGCATGCCATGGCAGTCCTGCACAGTGCCACAGAGTCATCTGACAGTGAGCTCTGACATCCAGAGGAACCCAGATCTGCTGCCAAGACCAGAGACGCAGGAGGGGCCATCTCTCTAGTAAGTAACAGCTCTCCAATGCTACTTGAACATCCCAAAGGCCCCACTCGGTGCTGGGCAAAGCCTTCGGCCACTCCTGTGCCAGAGCTGCCCCAGGCTGAGCAGGTGTGGAGCCCCCAGAGGGACTGGCCCTGAGAAATTACAAGGTCGTCACCGGTGAGCCAGGTTGGATAGTGAGGGTCACAGCCTCCAGCTGCTGAGCCCAAGGAAGGGGCTTCTGGGCAATAAAACCTGCCAGGAGACAAGACTACAGGTAAGTCAGAACCTCCTCTGCACAGCACCCAGTGTGGCCAAAAGAGAAGGTCAGGCAGGGCTAGGTCCTGACTGGGATTCAAAATTTCTGTAAATCAGCGGGAATTATCGATGGGTTTAGGATGACGTATAGTCCCAGGATTTAATCCACACACAAGTCACAGACCTCACCTGCATCCTTGGGAAAGCCACACAGCTCCTGGCAAGGGAAGTTTGGGCACTGTTTGTCCAAGCTACAGGACAACACCCAGTTCAGATGTTCCAGTTCAAATTGCCCCTGGCCATGGTTTCCCCTTGGGCTCGCTGGGCCTATGGCCTAAGCAGTACTGTAAAGCACAAGGCTCTGGAAATGTCCTGTCTCATTAGGGCTGGCAATTAATATACAGCTTTTCACAGAGTTCACAGAATATTCCGAATTGGAAGGGACCCACAGGGATCATCAAGCCCAGCTTGTAAGTGAAGGGCCCATACAGGGATGAAACCCACAACCTTGGCTTTATTAGCAACATGTTTTAACTAACTAAGCTAACATTAGCATCAGCTCCCTAATTCTGGGGCTACAGAGGCAGTGCTGCAAGCTCACACAGTAAAACGCATCAGGGCCAGTCTCGGTGCTTTCAGGTTCGCATCCCAACAGGAGAATTTACAAGGGTCAGCACCCACTGTGAGGTGCACCCAGTTATCCTACAAATGGATCTCTGGAGTGGGAGGCAGAGGCATCCCAGCCCAGCTGGCTCTATCTGGATCCCCAGCCAGTATGCTCCCATCTGCTGAGGGCTGAGTTTGTCTGTCTTTGCTAGGGCTTTGAACGTCAGGCCCTGCAAAAAATAATTCAGATATCATACTCTAGGCAGAGTCGGGGAGACAGACATTCACAGATGTTTGCTCAAAAAGCTGTTTAGGGCAGTAGGGTTTCTTTGGACAGAGAAATCCCTTTTCTACAGGAAACACCCACAAGCTGCTTCAGACCTCTTTGGACTTGGACAAAAGCCTCCAGTGCAGGAGCTGACACGTGCACTAAGTTGCTGCAAAATCAGTACATTGAGGAAGCCCAGTGCTCTTGGTCTCTACTTCTCCAGAGCATCTCACCTCCTTCAAGTAACCATGGCCACTTACACATTCCTGCCAGCCTTGATTTTTTGTCCCCTTTCACCTGCCCTGAGCAGCTGCTGGAACAAGCTCATTCCCAAAACAGTGTTTCAATCCTGGCCCAGCTGAGGGTTGGGGGCCCAGTATATCCATGCTAGGAAATGGTAATTGAGAAAGGGCTCTTCCTGATGCATAAGGCTCCCCTCTCTCCCCAGGAAGGCCCAGCGATCTTTTCTCAGGTTCTCTCATTGATCGGGTGCATCTGCCTCCTGCTAGCAAAGAGGAGCAGCCCAGCCAGGGCCTGACCTCCACCCTCCACTCCCCTTTTCTTCTGCCTTGCTGGCTTTCCACAGTTCCCCTTGGCCCCTGAGCTCCTTTACAGCTTGGGGCTCCCAGGAGCTCGGCATCGCAAGCTGCCTCCCTGCCTCGCAGCTGCTGGCTGGGACACTGCTGCGAAACACAAGCCCTCCTGAGGGGACCCGAGGGCAAAAGTGGTGTGCCTGGGACCTTGGCAAGATCCCAGCAAAGCACATCGGGCTCGCTCCGAAAACTCCACTTCGAGCAGTGCTTTTCGGAACGTGTAAAATCCTCCCACACAGCTGAGAGCGAGCGACTCTGCCGCGGGCAGGTGCGCGGTGAGAAACACCCCCTCGGCAGGCGGGTGCGCCCCGACTTCTTCCTTCCCTCGCTTCTTAGTTCATTGGGGTGAGGGCTCCCCCAGCCCGAGTATTACCCATCCTTCCACATCGCGTCCCGCTGCTCTCCCGTC